AACGCGACGCGAATTTTCAGTTTTCAATGACATTTAACTTTAATATTTTTCAATATTCGGAACCACTTAAGCAATTTTAGCTATTTGGTCTGCATATCTTGTAAAATATTTATCCGTTGACGGTTTTATTTGTTTTTGAAAACTGAAAATTCGCGTCGCGTTGCCGAATCGCGTCCGGTCTGTGTGGGCCTTTACTGTAACAACGGATTAAAATTTTACAAGATATGCAGACCAAATAGCTAAAATTGCTTAAGTGATTCCGTATATTTGAAAAACATAGAAAAATAGTAAAGTTAAATGTCATTGGAAATTGAAAATTCGCGTCGCGATGACGAATCGCGTCCGGTCTGTGTGGGCCTTCAAGATTTGGTTGGCGTCTCACTCGATTGAATATTAGTTGAAGGGTATTGTAGATGATGGAAATTATCGGGTGGAAATTTATATACATTTATTAGATCTAATCTAATACATTTATTAGACCCTGCGATCCCGGTGCTGCGCTCTAACCAATTGACCATTTGCGTAATAGACTAAATTTTGATCTAAACAAGTATAGACAAAAATTGAAAGAGCATCACAAAATTAGTAATATATTCCAAAGTTTCGTTGCGAAATGTTGTAAAATGCGGATAATACAGCCTTGCGAAGTTTGCAATTTTCAGTCATTTTAGGTTACAAACGGGAAATTGACAGCCCCGAAGGGTATTGGGCTGTCAATTTCCCGTTTGTAATCTAAAATGACTGAAAATTGCAAACTTCGCAAGGCTGTATTCGCATTTTACAACATTTCGCAACGAAACTTTGGAATATTACTAATTTTGCGATGCTCTTTCAAGCTGTGATGAAATTTTTGTCTAGATCAAAATTTAGTCTATTATGCAAGTGGTCAATTGAGCTACTGAGCTGAAGTTGCATTTTTCGCTTTTGTTCCTGGTTAGCTACAATCGCGTGCAAAAACAATGAGACTTTTCACATTTTTAGCCATTTTAAAGTACGTCGGCCTCCCCCCTGCCCCATGATCAATGTTGGAAAAAGTGGCTTGAATTTTCTCTTTTCAGTCATTCACACAACATTGAATTGGGTGTGAGGGCGGCATTTATGCGGTTGTCTCAATAATTTTTGCTCCTGATTGTAGATCTAATAAATGTATATAAATTTCCTCTCGATAATTTCCATCATCCACAATACCCCTCAACTGTTTAACTTAGGAAATAGTAGTACAAACGCCTACGTTGTTGTATGTAAGTTGTGTGCTTGATTTATACAGTACAACTTAAGTTGTAAGCAGGTTGCATGCGAGAGTTTTGTCCTAATCCAGCTTTGAACAAACGGCCCCAGTATAAGAAAGATTTCGAAACACGGACTCTTTTAAACTCTTAACTCAAGACACTTTCAGACTCATAGTAAAATTACAATGTGATTGTAATTGTTCCTTCCACAGGAAATGTTTACAGGGTGGGTTGGGTAAATTCCAAATTGACCCTTCCATCGTAGCTGTGTTCCGTGATCAGACATATGGTGGTAGCCAGAGTCGCCCTTAGTAAGCTTTCGACTCGAGAATGTCGAGTGTAGCTGTCAGCTGTAAGTAAGGATGATTAGTACATCTCCCATTTACTAATTCTCCTGTCAAAATAAAACTATTTCTTGTACAGTACTTGTTCCTTTACACATGTTGTTTAACAGCATTATATACAGGATGCTTATCAATTTTACACATCAAACACTCAGAGCACTTCTCGAAACCAAGCTTTGAAAGCTAAAACGTTATTTTCAACCATAAAGCAACTCACCTATACCAAAACAGCAGAAAATGTTGGAGAAAGTCGGCAGAAATCCTGGATTTTGGATGATCAGTTACTCGTAGGAAGCGAAAAGCTAGGTTTTATTTACACTGCGATATTGGTCCACTTTCGCTACGCAGTCATATGATACAAATTACGATATTTTCTCTTGCTGCCATGAGAAATTTACATATCTAGAGTGGCGTCGTCATCAACATGCACGCGTGAAACACTATTTTTTTCAAACAGTATCTTCAAACACAATTCGGGGTCTTTTGAATTTGAATTTGAATTTGAATTTTATTTGGTTTAGCACCACATTACATAAAGATTACAACACAACAAATATACAAAAAATTAGAAGTTTAACATGTTGGTGACAAGGAAGCCCAAAACGAAACCACAAGGCTTATATAAATTTAGGCTCCCTTTAAATGTACACCATATATATAAAAAACACAATTAGGCCTAATAAATTATGAAATGCAGACGTGCTTCAGCTTGCAGACTAATATTTTACATCATAATTATTAATAAATTGAACACAAATACTGTTTTAGACTTTTCTTAAATAAAATAGAGGACACAATGTCAACCAGATCATGAGGAAGAGAGTTGAAAAATTTTGGACCTTGAAAGCGCACCGAAAATTGTCTGATATTTGTCGTACATGAAGGTACATGATACTTGGAGGAGTTTCTTGTATTAAAAGTGTGAGTTTGATCATTTTTAAAAAACATGTTGTCAAATCGTTCAGGTAAAAGAGAAGATTTATGATGAAACATAAATTGACCAAGTTGTAGCATACAAATATCATTCAGTTTTAATAAGCCAAGCTTCTTAAATATAGGGCTAGTATGTGCAT